AAAACTTTCAAGCACATGTGTGTATGCTATTACACACGCGCGCACACTCACACACACACACACTCACACACACACACATACACACACAATCACACACACACACAATCACACAAGCCCACACACACATTCAAACGTATCTACATTCTACACATAAAAACATTAAATGATATAATTGAAAAGTCACTTTTAAAATGTCACGCCGTTATAAAACAATAAATAGTTGTTTTCAAAACACTCCACACACATCTACATGTAGATAAATGAATGAAAAAAAAAACAATAATAGTCATAATAATTTATTATTATTATATTTTTTTTATGATTATATTTTAATTATTGTAATAATAAATTTTCATATACGTCTAAAATGATCACTCTGCTAATCTTGCATAATAATAATAATAAAAATAATAATAATAATAATAATGATAATGACAACACAATGCATTTGAACTCTATGTGCGTTTGAAATAAATTCATTCATTCATTTAATCATTCATTCACTCGCTCATTCATTTATTCTTTCATTTTTGATATATATATTATGCATGTGTGTGTTTGTGTGTGTGTGTGGTTTGTGTATGTATATGTGGTGTGTGAGTGCATGTGCGTGCGTGTGTGAGAGTGTGTGTGTGCGTGTGTAACATATGAACAAGTGCTTTAAAAATAGTCGAATGTAAAAGCATTTAACCTACATAATTTTCTTATTTGTTCCCCTGGCAACAATTTCCATCGTCATGGCTACTAATTACAACAACTTTGCATGCTTGTGTGTTTGTTTGTGTACGTGTGTGTATGTATGTGTGCATGTGTGTTTGTTTGTATGTATGTATGTGTGTTTATGTTCCTAAGTGTGTGAGTATGTAGGTATGTAAGTTTATATGTATATATGAATTTATGGTTCTGTAATTGTTTGTGTATGTGTATCTACGTTTGTGTTGTGTGTATAAATGTGTTTGTGTGCGTGTGCGTGTGTGTATGTGTGTGGTGTATCGAATCGAAAGCGCTCCGTGAATTATTAATTACGATGAAGTTATCAACTCTGGCTGTGAGAGAGGAGTGCTCCTTAAAAATAAATTAATTTGTTTCTATGTCTGCTCGTTCGTTTGTATAATAGTATAATAATACACACACGCACGCACACACACACACACACACACACACGCACACATACATACACACATACATACATACACACATACATACACACATACATACGCATCAATACACCAGTATATTTATAGAGCTTTATAAATCATTGTGATCGAGCATCGGTGAATATTTATTCTCGACTGCATTCTCTGCCCTGCTCTGTTTGCATCTAACTATTATAACTATAGTAATATAATAGTAATTATATGTAAAATAAATTAATTTAGAATGTGTTGTAATGAATAAAAATTGTTTCATAATGAATAATAATTGTTCCATATATGTGTATATTTATTTATTAATACTAAAATACATAGAATAAAAGAGATATATACATTTAGGTGTATTTAATTAGTTAAGTTTGTATGTGTGGGTGTATTTAATTAGTTAAGTTTGTATGTGTGGTTGTCTGTGTGTCTTCATCAGCCCATGGAAGCTTAAATGACTTGCATGGAATAATAATAGTAGTAATAATAAAGATGAATAATAATAATAATAATAACAATAAACTAATAAACAAATAGCAGAGCATTTATTCTATTAAAAATAATTACAATTGAAAACTACGGCCAAAGGCTGTCGTACATAAAATAATTGCATTAATTAATATCATCTCATTAATGACATTAACAAGTTAAATTGATTATAGCGATTAATTGGAATAACAATAATTAACAAACAAAATTAATAATAATAATAATAGTAATAATAATAATAATACTAATAACAATCCCAATTCACCGAACATCCGATCCGGATGAAAGGAAGCACATCCTCTACGCCAAGGTCGTCAACCTCAGGGACCAGGAGCCTCGATTCCAAGTCGGTCAAATCTAAAATCGGATCTCTCGATAATGCCAAGCACACCCCTGGCGGTGGAGCTGTGAGTATTTGTTGTTTTTTGTTGTTTTTTTTTGTAATTGTTGCTGTCGTTGTTGTTGTTTTTATTGTAGTTTTTGTTATTAGTATTATTTTATAATTCTAAACCACTGCTCTATGTTCTATAATGTAAATAAAGACTGCTTCTACTGCTACTACTACTACTTCTACTTCTACTACCTCTACTACTACTACTACTACTACTACTACTACTACTTCTACTTCTACTACTACTACTACTACTACTACTACTACTACTACTACTACTACTACTACTACTACTACTACTACGAAAAAAAATTTCCACATTTGAAAATTAAAAGACACTTTATTTGTTTAATTTTGTACTACTGCCTTGCATGCTGTAACAGTTTCTGCGCCTGTCAGATTCTGATTTTTAAAGAATATAATTAATTAAAATAATTAATAATTAAATTTAATAATTATTTTAATTAATAATTAAAAAAAAATAAAAAAAATGCATTTTCAGGTGAAGATACAGAGTCAGAAAGTGGATTTTTCGAACGTAGGCAGTAAGTGCGGCTCGAAGGACAACATGACCCACACCCCTAAAGGCGGGAATGTCAAGGTCATTTTTTTTACAAATCTCTTTCCGGTTTTTCTCAAAAGTATCAACTAGTGTAGGCAAATGCACGTAAATGAACGCGTAGCACGTTGTTTGTGACGGGCGGGATCTCTTCGCAATCGAGCCCGGGTACTGTAACATCAGTGTCAGGCAATTTAACCATCTTACCATCGTAACATTTGTTTGGTTTCTGTTATGAAGGGCTCAGCTCTTTCCGTTATAAATATTTTTTTTCATATTTCTTTTTAAACAAAAATGATTTTATTTATTATAAATTGTATCAAATAAGTCATTAATCCAAAGTTAAACTACACATAGATAATTATTAGTTACGAATTGTTGGTATTTTTTAAATTATTTTAAAATGCAGATAATAGAAAGTAATTTTTTTTTTCAAAAAAGATTGAAAACAAGAAACTGGAATGGAAGGTCGAGTCGAAAATTGGATCCCTGGATAATGCCAAGCACAAACCTGGAGGTGGCGATAAAAAAGTTAGTGTAACAACAACAACAACAACAACATTAACAACAACAGCAGCAGCAACAACAACAACAACAATAACAACAACAACAAACAACAACAACAACGAATAACATTCGTGAAGTCCTTGAATACAACTACTACAAAGTGTTCAAGATCGGGTTTTGTGGAGGTCGGTGATCGCCAATGTCCTGATTGGATAGGGCACGAGAAAGAAAGAAGAAGACTAACATTTTTATTGTATTACAATAATAAGATAACTAACACAATGATGTCTCTAAATTGTTGAGAATATCAATCACAATTTTTAAGCTAGTTTATCAACGTGGCTGACACACACACACACACACAAACACATACACACTACACACACGCACATACAAACACAAACACGCACACACACACAGATCGAAAGTGCTAAGCTGGAGTGGAAGGTTACTTCAAAAATCGGCTCACTGGAAAATGCCAAACACATTCCCGGTGGTGGTGACGTCAAGGTATCATCATCATCATCATCATCGTCGTCGTTGTCGTCATCATCATCATCACCGTCGTCATCGTCATCATCGTCACTGCTATCATAACTATCATCATAGTCATTATTGTCACGTGATTATTATCATAAACGTCATCATCATCGTGTTTATTATTATTATTATTATTATTATTATTATCATCATGTCATAATTTTTTCAGTAAGAAACATTATACAGAACATGAACATTATATAACATTCAGTGGCGGATCTGGATAACTTTGACGGAAGGGGCGGAGTAAAATTTTGAAAGTGTTCAAATTTTTAATTTTTGTTCTTCGAATTAGGATGTGGTGGGGCAAGATTTGTCGTAGTGTGACCGAAATTAGGCTCATTACGCTATTTTTGGATGTAAAATAGTTCTTTCTCTGCGCAAAAACTGAGTTCAACTGGCTTTTAATGAAAATTCTGCTCACAACAGAGGGTCTATGGCCGCCTTAGATCCGTCACTAATAATATTTTTAGTTGGTTAGAGTCACATAGACATGATGTGTTTTATTCTTCGTTGTCGTCATCATCGTCACATTGCTTTTTGTTTGTACAAATTCTTTGTTCGTTTCTTTTAAACTACCGGTCAGAGAGTCATTCATAAAAGGAATTTTAGTTTTATGGCATGGTTTGGTTTCCAACTTTTTATCTATTGAGTTTCTCCAGAGGTGCGCTTTTAACTTTTAAACGGTTTTTTTCGACACATTCCTGCTTCTAAACAGGTCCTAACCCAAACATTAAACTGGAACGTCACGTCAAAGGTTGGTTCCCTTGACAACGCTGATCACGTGCCTGGCGGAGGAAAAAAGAAGGTAAAAATGTCGTCTGCCGGTAATAACGCATTCAAACTTGCAGGCGCGGTACTTCGCGAGATGAGACAAGTTTAGGAGAGCTTAATTTGATAAACTCAAAAACGGATTTAAAAAATTTAAAGTGGTTAAAAAAACTTCAGAGTGACTCATTTAAACTCCATTAAAAGACTTATGTTTTTCACACTCAGAACTTATATCTTGATAACTATTTTCATTCATTTAGAAGTAAATTTTTTTAATATACTTTTTTTAAAAAACGAAATCTAAAGATTGACACGGTGAGGCTAGACTTCAAGGATAAGGCCCAATCGAAAGTGGGTTCCAAGGACAACATCAAACACAAGCCCGGTGGTGGCGCGAAAAAGGTTTCAACTCATTTTCTAATTGTAATTCTTTACTCTGTACGATTACACTGGGAATTCGATGTTATTTCTTATCTTTTTTGCATGATACGGTCTCAGCCATCCTTTGGAATAATTAACTACCGTTACGTAATCTGTAACATCAATCTCATCACTATCATCTGTAACATCAAAGTATTTAATTGTAAAGGTTTATTTACTTCCATGGTTATAGATCTATATAAAAAAGAAGTTTTTAAACGTATATTAAATAACAATTCGTTATCAATTAATCTTAATATGAAATATTCTCACGGAACTAGATCGAGACTCAGAAATTAAGTTTCAGCGAAACCGCCCAGCCAAGAATCGACGCCAGCCTGAAACGTGAAAGCATAACCGAGGAAGTAGTTTTTGAAGAAAAAGTCAAAGAGAATGTTATGGGAGAAGTTAAAAATTAAAAAATAATTAATCACTGAAAATGATTTTTGTCCTTCGTCGTTATACCCAACTAATAACTGTCAAATTTAACGTTATAATTCATTTAATTTGATAAATTTATTAATATATTTAATTTTTATAAATTTTTTATTATCCAACCTCTTTCTAATTTCTTGGAGGTTTATTGGTGCACCATTTGTTAATTTTCCATTTTTATGCGTAACCAGAAAATTTTGTTGTTCAACCATCATTTCAACTTGAGTTTACTTTTAAATATATTCCGTTTTTAGTGTGACGTCATGAGATTTCGTCACGTTGTTTTTTTCCCCGTACAACTTTTCATTGCAGTTAAATAATTATTTGAATAATATTAATTAATTAAAATTTATTATAGTTCATTTATTTTTCATTTTTTCAAATTTGTTAAATTTAATGTTGCTACTAAACATTTTTAACTGATAAAATCCATTTTGACGTTGTCTGTCTATATTTCTAAATGTTCGTTCTATAACTTTTATATTCTGAATGCGTGTGTGTGTGTGTGCATGTGTGTGTGTTTGTGCGCGTGTGTATTTGTGTGTGTTGTTTCTTTCATACAGTGTAATTTGACACGCAAACTAATTAATTAAACCGTCATTAATTGGATAATTTATATTAATTGGTTATTTTTCTATTTACTGTATAAAAGTAAGTATATAACTATACCATATATTGGATTAAGACTGTCAGAAATGCAATTATTGACGAAAACCACACCATTTTCATCAATAATTGAACTATACTAAATGCATACACATAGGTATATACACATATACATGTATTCTTCATGTATTTTTAGGTTAGTAAGTTTTTACAACATTTAATAAAAAAATAACAATATAAATATAGGCACGCAAATGTTAATGTTATTACTATTGTTATTTTTATCATCACTATCTAATGTGGTAGCTATATGGATACATATTCAAGAACGTTTTTGTGTGTTTTTAATGTTTTATTATTGTTATTATCATTATTATATATACATACATATATATAAAATATTTAAAAGTTAAAATGTCGTTTTTGTGTTTCTGGAGTGATAGTGACGTGGTTTGAACAACAGACTCTTAAGCTAAACGAGAGTAAAACTCAGCTTTTTTCTTGTCGGAACCTGGCAACAGTTGCAAATGGTTCGTGTCAACTCTGTCGACATGTCTAAATCAGTTATCCAGTTTTGTTCGTCTGCCACTAGCCTGGGAATCACGCCTGCTCAAAATATGTGTATGGATCACCATGTCAACTATAAAGGCTCAGACAGATCGGAAAGTCGCTTGGGATACATTGATGAGGATACATTGAAATGTCTAGTTCATACGTTCATTCATTGTAATAGTGTTTTCATGGAACTTCCAACAAAATCATATGCCAACAACAGTCAAATCAAAATCAAGCAGCTAAGATAATCGCTGGTGGATTAAAGTTTGAACATGTGAGTCATAGCCTGTTGAACCTGCACTAGCTGACTGTTAGGCAAAGAATCAAATTCAAAATTGCCATCATGGTATTCAAATGTTTAAATGGTATCAGTCCGAGTTACCTGTATGGCAAGTGTTTGCATAGGTTCACATCTGCCCAACGTCCTCACTTACGTTCGGACTGTCAGGATCTTCTATCAACCTGGATTAACTCTTCAACAATTCCTTAAAGAACTAAAAACTCATCTTTTTATGGATTAAACCACATGACTTGAGCAGCGCCTTTGAGAAGTTTTAAAGTGCGCTAAAATATAAATTTTTTAATAGTAATTATGAATAATTTAACTGAATACAAAATTGTTTATTATTATTATTATTGTTCCGAAAAACCCCAAAAATCTGTTTACATCACAGAAAATGAATGAAATTAATAATGTAAGATGACGTTATTATTATTATTATTGTTGTTGTTGATGTGATTATGTCTGTAAAAAAGTATTTTTATGATAAAAATAGTTGACACAACAAAATTTCATAATTGAAGTCGATTTTTTACAAACGATAAACAATAATAACAGCTGTAATAGAATAATAATAATAACCGTTGCTGTTATTATGTTTAACGTATTTATCATAAATTAACATAAATCATAACAAAATCGTAACAAAAAATTCAAAAAATTATTGTAGGCGATTCACAGAAAAAAAAAATTTAATGTGATTTCGTGTAGAAAAAATTAAGCGGATCAAAAATTAACTTTGCAGTCTAGCAAACAAGGGGAAATACAATCAAATAACATCACCAGCGCCATCATCAGTGGCGAATCTAAAAGGGGGGGTTAAGGGAATTTCCCTAATTTCGATCACTCCGTTAGGGCCGTCTAGATCGGCCACTAACGGCCACCACTACCGCGAAGACAGGGTGGTCAGGGCCAGCATCGCGGCTTTTTCATCTTTGGTCGCGATGAAGAAAAATCTCCCTCCATCATTGTCGATACTGACCAGGTTAAATAAACTGTCCATATTATTATTGTTATTATTGTTGTTGTTATTATTGTTATTATTATTATTATTATTGTTGTTATTAATGTTATTGTTGTTATTTTTATTGTTGTCAACAATATTACCTATATCACCGGCACAACATTCGTTGGCGAAATTATTATTATTATTATTATTACTGTTATTATTATTATTATTACTGTTATTATTATTGTTGTTGTTGATGTTATTATTATTATTGCTGTTGTTGATGTTATTATTATTATTATTGTTATTGTTCGTATCGCTCATATCACAGTCAGGATGGCCGTCATTATCATAATCATTAACACCATCTTCATCATCATCATCATCATAATCGTCATCGGCTCCGTTATTATTATTATTACTGTTATTATTATTGTTGTTGATGATATTATTATTGGTATTATTATTATTATTATTATTATTATTACTGCTACTGGTCACTAGGTCAGATTGCATTTCTGAAAGTGCAAAAAAAAAATTGAAATAGTTATTGACGATACTGTGACGACAAAAAATACTACTACTACTACCACTGCTGCTACAACTACTACTACTACTACTACTACGACGATGACGACGACGACGACAACAACAACAACAAAATAATAATATAAACAAAGAACAAAAAAGAAAACCATTTATCAAGAATTCCTTTTTCACCGGCACCAAAGATATTTTACTCTTCCGGAAAAGCTCGTCATCGTCGTCATCCTCGTCCATGACAACGTCGTCGTTCTTGATGACGTCACTATTGATATCATCACCAGCGCCGCCACCACCGCCACTGTCACTGCCGTCGTCATCGGCAGCAGCAGCAGACGCCACATCACCTCCACGGACGTCACAATCATGAACCAGCGATTGTGGCTGCTGTTGTTGCTGCTGCTGTTGAAGTAGTAGTAGTTGTTGCTGGTATCTGTCCAGTAGTGTCCTCAAGGCTTTGTTTTCTTTCCTTAATTTTGTCACCTCCAACTTGAATTAATAATTAGAAATAAAAACAGAACAGAAAGACTAGCTATCATCAAGTCAAGTGTGTATGTACGTCGGCCAGCCCTTATATAACAAACACCATATATATGTCAGAAAACACACAAACACACACACACAGACACATACAGACACACACACACAGACACACACACACATACAAACACACACACAGATATACAAACACACATAAACGTACATTGAGCATCTTGTTGTTGTGCTCCAACTGCTGAGATCTGGTAGCCAGTTTATCCATTAGTAGCTTCTTTTTGTGTCTGCAGCGAGCTGCGGCCGCCCTGGTGGTGGTGGTGACGACAACGACGACGATGATGATGATGATAATGGTGATGATGATGATGATGATGATAATGGTGATGATGATGGTGATGATGATAATGGTGATGATGATAATGGTGATGATGATGGTGATGATGATAATGGTGATGATGATAATGGTGATGATAATGGTGATGATGATGATGGTGATGATGATAATGGTGATGATGATGGTGATGATGATAATGGTGATGATGATTACCGAATATTTTTAAAACCACCTATTCCTTTCGAGAAACTTCTGCCTCCTCTCTAAAGTTTCAGTGGAATGTGGCGTTCCCTGGCAAAATTTCTTGCTGGTAATGATGACGATGATGGTGGTGGTAATGGTGGTGATGATGATGGTGGTAATGATGATGATGGTGATGATGATGATGGCGCACATAACAGTGATGGAAATGATGATGGTGAAAAGACAACAACAACAACAACAACAACAACAACAACAACAATAATAAAAACAACAACCACAACAACAGCAACAATAATAGTACTACTACAACTGCTAACAACAATTACAGACCTAATAAGGACGTCTTCTTCACTATCCAGAGAACTAATGTTTTCATTGATATTACCATTTAAACTACAATTAGCAATTTTACTATTGATGTTATTGACTATAATGTTATTGTTGTTATTGTTGATGTTATTGATGTTGTTATTGATGTTGTTGTTGTTCTTATTAGTATGAATAACTATTGCATTGGGCGATTGTTGTTGTTGTTGATAGCTTGTTATCAGATCTGAGATCATCAATTTTTTATCAATGCAGTTGTTGTTGATGTCGTTGTTGTTTGTGTTGTAGTTTCTGCTGTAGGTGCCGTTGTTGTTGCTGCTGCTCTTCAAGGCCGCTTTCAATTTCTGAAATTTGTATGATGTTTAAAATGTGTATTGATCAGTCAATCAGTCACTCAATCGATCAATCAATCAATCAATCAGTCAATCAATCAGTCAATCAATCAATCAATCAATCAATCAATCAATCAATCAATCAATCAATCAATCAATCAATCAATCAATCAATCAATCAACCAACCAATCAATCAACTAACTGATCAGCCAAACAATCGGACATCAATCAACCGACCAGTCAGCCAACCAGCTAGCCAACCAACAACCAATCAACTAACTTCTTTGGTTGACATTGCAATGCCACTTTTAGGTTTCAGTGAGAATGTCATGGACGAAGATGCTGGCGTCGTTGGTGTTGTAGTTGCAGGGTGAATACGTTTTGTTGACGTTTTGGTTGCTGTTGTTGATGTTATGTTGTTGTTGTTGTTGAAAAGTACGTTTGGCACTGTTGTTGCTAGTATGTTGTCGTCGTTTTTCAAGAAAACCATGTTGCTTTTTAGGCTATTGTTGATGCTACTCAAGTTGTTGATGTTATTCAAGTTGTTGATGTTATTCATGTTGGTGTTGTTGTTGTTGTTTAGAATGTTGTTGTTGCTGTTAGCGGGTATCTGAACAGGAATGATTGAGTTGTTGTGAAGAATGTACGCGACTACAGTCTCAGCACGTTCTGTCGCTAGACGAGACGGTTGCTTCAGCAAGTTGCTGCAACCGAATAAAATTAAGGTCATGGTTAGTCGCTCTTATAACATCACCTAGAAACATCAATAACATCAACTACACACACGCACGCACACCATACGCGCGCACACACTGACATTACACATACAAACACACATACACACATACACAATAATGTTGGATCCGGTTCTTACCGAATCTCTAGTGTTGGATTCGACGAATTCCGATCTTACCGGATCTAAGGATTCAAAACCATCGCATTCCAGGTAAACATAGACAATTAAACAAAACATGATTCATAAAAAGTTCACAAATACCTAAACTACCAGATACCATTTGAAAATGTTTGAAAAATTTAGACTAACTTTTGTGTGAGTTCATGTTGTTGTTGTTGCTGCTGCTGTTGTTGTTGATGTTGTTGTTGTTGTTGATCACCCGTTGAAATGTAATTTAGAATTGGATTAAGTTGCAGGTGTTGTTGTTGACTATGAAGCTGTTGATGGTGGTCAAGCTGTTGTTGCTCAAGTTGTTGTTGCTCAAGTTGTTGCTGCTGTTGTTCGAAATGTTGTTGCTGTTGTTGTTGTTGGGAGCCATCTTCGGGGTTTTTGTAGACGAGGTACTGGTTGTCGTCGACGTAAGTGACAACAACAACGTCCTCGATGTTACCGTTAATGTCATGAACGTTGTGAAACTGTTGTTGTTGCTGTTGTTGTTGTTGATGTAGTTGTTCTTCAGTTGAAATCTCAATTTGATGTTGTTGTTGCTGCTGTGTTGCGACACAGTTTGTAACGTCGCCAGATATCCTTGCAGCGACAACCACATCGTCTTTAACACAACTGACGCAAGCGCTGATACCACCACTACCACCACCACCACCACCACCACCACCACCACCACCACCACCATCATCATCATTATTATTATCATTTTCATTATCTCCGTCATCATCATCATTTTTATTATCTACATTATTATTATCATCATTATTATTATCATTATTTTTGTTAATATTATTATTATTATTAATATTATTATTCAGTGTGATGCTACCGCCATAGACGATGGGTGTGTTGAGGGGTTCTGTGATGGATGGCTGGTTGTCCAAGCAGGGACTTGTTATCAGGGAATGGTGCTGCTGTGTGTGTGTGTGTTTGTGTGTTTCTGTGTGTGTGGTGTGTGTGTTGGTGCGTGTGTGTGAAAAAACGAATGATGATTGAATGACGTTGCTGTATGTGTGAGTGTGTATGCATGCGTGTGTGTTAGGTGTATGTGTTTGCGCGCGCGCGTGTGTGTGCGTGTGATGTAGAAGGATGAACGGATGAATGAACGAATGAATGAATTGACCGCGATTTGTCTATTGGATACGATTAGATGGAGTAACTAAAAAGAAACACACGAACAACAAACACGCACACAGACAGACACACACACACGCAAACAACAAACAAACAAACAGACACACACAAACACACGCACGCACACAAAAGGACAAACCTCAGTAGCCCTCTTGAAGGCCTCTTCAAAAGGGTTCTTGCCAAAATCCTGAAACAACCCAACATCCTCACAATTCTTCAAAAACTTTGATGGAGTCGGAGTTTGATCGGCTGGATATTTTTTTTTTCAAATTTCATGTCATTGAAAATTTTCTCTTAAACTAAGATAATGAAATTTTTAACATGCAAACGTCTGCTATTCAGTTGCATTCCTAAATTTCTTTCTTCTTTTTCCTCTATACCAGATTTTGTCAAGTAAGGCATAGAGTAAGTTTTGAAAAATCCAAACTATACTAACTTTTGAGTTACAACACATAACACAAACACTAAATTACATTAGCTACATTAAAAAATTACAGTTCTTACATTAGTTACATTACAAAATTACAGCTCTTACACTAACTACATTACCAAGTTACAGTTCTTACATCAACTACATTACAAAATTACAGCTCTTACATTAGCTACATTACAAATTACAGTTCTTACATTAACTACATTACAAAATTACAGTTCTTACACTAACTACATCTACATACATTGAATATCGGTAGAAGGAAAACCACAGTGAAGAAACTCTAGTAGCATACATGTACAACCTCTCAATGCTGGCATTTGCATCAAAATTTGAAGGAAATAAAAATGACAAAAAAAAAATCCGTAATTTTCCAACATAACATTTTGGTTAAGTGCTGGATATCGATAATAAGATAACCACATCAACCACCACCATAACAATAATAATAATAATAACAATAATAATAATAATCATAATAAAGGTATGACTAACCGACAAAACTAAGTAGCCCTGGTCTGATGTCGTCGATGGTCAGGGAGAGTTGGTGCTTCGCTTTGTGGACTGCTAGGTGGTCTTCGTTGGTGAATTTCTTTATGGGGAAAAATATAATAATAATAATAATGATAATAATAACAATAATAATAGTGATAATAACTACAATAATAATATTATAATCTTAGCCAATCTAGCCTATATATATGCTTTATTTATATAATAATAATGATGATAATGATTGTGATGATGATGATAATGATGATCTAACTCACTAACCATGCCACAGCCAGGGTTGGTGCATTCAAATGGTTTGTCATCTGTCATATTTGGCTCTTTTAAATATAAAATTAATAAGTTGTTTATTAATTGTGAGAAACATCAAGAGTAAAATCAGGTAAGATAATAATATAATAGGAGGAATAGTAATAGAGTGTTTAACTTTAAAGATTTATTAATAATTCAAATTTAGAAGGATTTAAATTAAAAAGACCAAGCTGTTTTTTATGATTAAGACACATAGAGTCAGACCAAGTGATAATTGAAGAAAGACATAGAGACAGATTATAAAAAACACTATTGAGATTAGATTAGACATTATTAGATGGAGGAAGAATCATCAGATCAGCTATCAATATTAAAAATTAAAATTAACTAGTTAGTTGTTGATTGTTATTGAAAGAAAAATTTGTCATACAGGAGATGAAAAAATTTTTTTTAAATATTTCTGTAAAAATACTAACAATTGTAATCGTAATTTAAATAAAATTAAACATAAATAAATTATTTTTAAAAATTATACATCATTTAAAAACTAAAAAAAATTCGGGCACCGATGTTTACAAATAAAATTGTTAGTGAAGTTGGATAGGGAATTTTTTCACCTTAAATTTTATTATCCAGCGCTTACTTTTTTAAAACAAAACACACACCAGTCTTAAATACCGTATAAGATTCATTAAAATCATAATTACAGCTACATATGCGTATGTATATTTGATGTTATATGGCATGTGTAAAAATAACGTTTAAAATATGGAGTTATGATTGTATTTATCTCTTCAAAGCCCTTAAAACTTGTTAGTTTCTTGATATTTTAATGGAAGGATTTGTGTTTATTCAACAGTTTAGAAGCTAACGTATATTATTTTCTTATATGCGTAGAACATTTCAATTAAATAACATTAAGTTAATAATATCTAATGGTAAAATTTTAAAATATCAACTTTAATTTTGTATAAAGGTGTGGTTCGTCATTTAATAGATTTTAATGCTTGCTATTTATTTACGTAATTTATTCTTTTAAAATTAAAATTAGTTAAATTATTCATTGCATCGATTTATTTAAACAAAAAGCTAAGCAATAACTCATTCAAAAATTGATATAAACCAAAAAACTGCCTGTACATCTGATGTCAAATAATTAAACTCTATTCATTTAAAAGGATGTCATTCATTAAATTAGTCAAAGAAGATAAAAATATTTTACTACAGCATAAACAATGTGATACATGGACGCTGCGAACTGGAGAACTGAATGGAGAGAGGTGAAATGTTTTTTGCCCCTGGATAGCGGGGAGGAGTACAATAAGTATGTTTACCCTTTCCCAATAGTTTAGAGTGATGATCCCCACCTGTACTTTTGCCATCATATTTACACATAGATCTACGACTACCCTTGTGTGATAAACACATATTGCCACAAAACTTTATTACGTTTATAAAATTTTGACTTTAAAATTGAAATTTTGACCAAAAATTAAATAATAATCATTCGAGAATAAGAAAAATAACGATAGAACCGGCGAAGTATTAAAGTTACAACGTTAAATCAGAATTTTTCCTTGAAAAAATTTACAGTTGAACGGTTTACAATTCGAAAATTGTATTTTAAAAATATTTCTTCTCGCCAAAAATAGTAATCTGCCATTAACAAGGCTGTATTACGTTTTATATAGTAGGGTATATATAAAAAAAATCAATGATAAAAGTTCATTATCCGAATAAAATATTTGAATTTTTAGACAATTCCTGCTAAAATAATAGAGTAATAAATTGAATATTTAAATTTAAAATAAAAAAAAATTCAATTCCTAAAAATCTCGACTCCACAGTCTTAGGCAGTCCTCATACTGGTCGTAAAGGTAGCCAAAAGCCGGAAGATCAACTGACCCGCTCATTATCGCCCCCCTTATTGAAGTGTAAATATATCTGGTGATGATATTGATGATTGCTATGACGACGACGACGATGATGATAATAATGGTGATAATTGTTGTGATTGATGATGACGACCATGATGGTGATAATTGCTGTGGTGATGATGACGATGACGATGATGGTGAGGATTGCTGTGATGATGACGACAATGATGACGGTAATGATGGTGGTTATATTGATGATAATGGTGATAATGATAATGATGATGATGTTGGTGATGATGGTGGTCACAATGATGATGATGATGGGGTAGCCATTATATTATTTTATCAGTACAATCGATAAGCACTAATAATAGAATAAATAATAATTTTAAGAAACAAAATTAAATAAAGATAATATTAAACAAATTTATTTACAAATAAATTTACATCTATAATACATAAATAATACACAAATAATTTAAATAATTATAGTTAAATAAATAATGATTCAAAATTAAAATTAATCGTCACCGAAAAATGGTCGAAGTTATCAAGCTGAGTACAGCGCAGGCACTGTTCAAACCCAAGATCCATATCAGAAGGTTGGTAGTACGCCATAACATCACCTGTCTGATTGATTGAATGAATGAGTGAGTGAGTGAGTGAGTGAGTGAGTTAGTGAGTGAGTGAGTGAGCGAGTGAGTGAATGAATGTGAGCGAATGAATGATTGAGTGAGGGAATGAGTGAGTGAGAGAATGAGTGAATGAGTGAATGAACGAGCAAATGAATGAATAAATGAACAAACGAATGAGCGAATGATTGAGTGAATGTGAGTGAACGAATGAGAGAACGAAACGATAAATCGATTTTTAGAATGGATATAGGATAACAAGTAGAATGAATCTGTGATCGAATGAAGAAATGTTATGGTATTAGAATGGTATCAGAAATAATAGAAGAGTAATAGTATGAGAATTTAAATAAAACCTGCAGCCCGTGGCATGGAGCGTCAGATCTGTGGCGTAGTTGTAATTGTGGTGATAGTTGTGGTCGTGAACATGCGTGAATATGCACGGCCTCTTGGCGTATATGCTGCAACAGCTAGAGGGGGTAGAGCCAGTTTACGAATAAATTAATAAATTAGGAGGTTTTGTCGCCAATCATTCAACCAATTACAGAGCAAGACCAATCACAAAGCAAGGAGTACAACATATCTCACGTGACATCCGACCTAAAAGGAACACTGTCAGTTCGGTAGCGCCCTTCTGACCTTAGCTCCTCCCTCTCCAAGGCGTCATTCAAATTGATGTAAGGGGATCGAATCCAGGCGATGGTGAACCAATCAGAATACGACAGGTCGCCACAGCATTGGTGGGTTATCTGAAGGTTGTCTATAATCACTTTTGATTGGTTGTAGGTCCTGTAAAGGTTCATTGACGGGCGCAAACCGCTCTGTGATTGGTTGGTTGGTAGAGGGATGGATAAATTAATGATAAATTGGATGAGTAATAGATCAGTGGAGGAACGAAAGGATGAATGGAAGAAAAATAAATATACAAATGTCTTGATCATATTAGATAAATTTGTATAAAGATTATCGTATTGTTTCTACTACTATCACTCCTATAGTAATATTTATACTACTACTACTGCTACTACTACTACTACTGCTGCTACTACTACTACTGTTACTACAATTATTACTACTACTACTACTACTACTACTACTACTACTACCACTACTACTTCGAATAATAATAATAATAATAATTTTGCTCTTTCAACTACAAATACTACTGGCGACACTTTTTGGAACACCAACCACAAACATATCTTCAATGCCGACGAGCAGCACGGCCGTCACTACAATGGCGACAAACGTTGACGTGACGTAGTAGAAGAACATATATTGCGTCAAGATCATAGCGTTTAATAGCCCAACTCTTTTCGACTTGAACAGGGCCAGATAGCTAATCCACAGCATGGCGGCCGATATGCCCATTGACGTGATACTAATTAGGTAGGAGACGCTGGGGTAGTAGTAGAGGTCCAGGGTGCGTATTAAGGGCTTGTACCTGTGGATCTGGAAGTGATTGAGTTATGGTGAGAGAGTTCAGTGGTTTTCAGATCAGACGAAAAGTATACATTCCGACCATAGATTAAAAACCGTTAAAATTAAATTATGCAAATCTACTACTACTACTACTACTACTACTACTACTACTACTACTACTTACAACTACTACTGCTGCTACTACTACTATTACTACTACAACTACTACTCCTACTCCTCCTCCTCCTCCTACTACAACTACTACTACTACTAATAATAATTATTATTATTATAATAATTACCATTAAGTTGTAGAGCCCTCTTACAACGAGAATGTTGAGTTTGTTGAAACCCAGGGCTACAAAGTTCAAGAACATGGCACTCCGTAACAAAAGCATCCTGTAGCCTTCATCGATCCATATCTCAAAGAACATTCTTTAACGTTCGACGCTTGTGCGGCTACTGCAACTGCCACTACTACTACTGCTGCTGCTGCTTCTACTACTACTGTTATTATTTATTATTATTATTTATTATTATTGTTATTATTATTATTCAGTAGCAAAATTCAGAGACCATTCTGTAGAAGATTTGCTCGATGTTAACGTTATTATTATTATTATTATCATCATTATTATATAATAATAATAATAATAACTATTATTATTGTTATACTAATAATAATAATAATATTATTACGTTATAATTTTATTGTATATGTCATAAGTGAAATAAAATAAATTTTTATTATTATTATTATTTACATTCTCTTGTTTACAAACATTCGAAACGTTTATAACAATGGATGTTTGAAATAAAATATGTATACATTATTTTTAATTAATATCATAAGAATGATTGGTAGGTTGGCTGGTTAATTGATTGGTTGATTGATTGGTTAATTGATTGACTAAATGGATGATTGATTGGTTGGCTGGCTAGTTGGCCGGTTGATTGTTTGGTTGGTTGGTTAATTGATTGATTAAATGGATGATTGATTGATTGGCTAGTTAGTTGGTTGATTGATTAATTGACTGATCAGTGAAGATCGTCTTCGTCATCAGTGATGAAGACGAAGACGATGATGATAATGACGATGATGACGAAGACGATGATGATGATGATAATGATGATGACGAAGACAATGATTATGATGATGATGATGATAATGATAACGATGAAGAAGACGACGACGATGTTAAAAATTTCTTGATCGTATCAAAAACACAATTAAACATAATCATCAAAGAATCCAAGAGCCTATTCATTCATATAAGTGGTTAATGCAGTTGTTATTGCAAATGTTATTATTATTTTTATTGTTGTTTTTATTGTTATTTTGGTTGTTGTTGTCGTTGCTATTGTTGTTGCTGTAGTAGTAGTAGTAGCAGTAGTAGTAGTAGTAGTAGTAGTAATAGAAGTTGTTGTTGTTGTAGTGGTAGTAGTAGTTGTAGTAGTAGTAGTGGTTGTAGTAGTTGTTGTTGTAGTGGTAGTAGTAGTAGTAGTAGTAGAGGTGGTAGTGTGGTAGTAATAGTAGCAGTTGTAGTAGTAGTAGTAGTAGTAGTAGTAGTAGTAGTAGTAGTAGTAGTAGTAGTAGTAGTAGTAGTAGTGTTGTTGTTGATGATCTATGGAAAGCCATTTCCATAACTGTCACTGTTGTTGTCGGTTCCACATCTTGAAAGTTATTTCTTCCCATCTACATTACATTAACATTTCAAAACAATGTAAGCAAATATGCACACGCACACACATGCACACACACACTAATACATTTAAATTTATGCACACACACACAAACACGTACACACACACACACATACACACACACACACACACAAACATCAATTCATGTTCACTGCCTTGCGTACAAATATCACCATGTGTATGTTTCAAACAGATGTTCAAACATACACAGACACAAGTACAAACACACAAACACACACTCACATTTATAAATATACAAATATTTTAACACACATACGACACACACACGCACACACAAACAAACACAGAAATTCGACTATGCTCCGACAATGACACAAATACACAATTGTTCCCGATCCGCAATGTTTAAGGTCAATATATTTTGAAAGCTTCCATTAAAACTCTCTCTCTCTCTCTCTCTCTCTCTTTCTTTCTCTCTCTCTCCCTCTCTCTCTCTCTCTCTCTCTCTCTCTCTAAATATTTTTGCTTTCTGCATATTTTGTCTCTGTTTTCTTCCTCCATTTTCACCTTAATTTCCTTTCCTCTCAATATTTAATTTTTTCACATTTTTTCTCTCTTTATTTCTTTCATTTTTGGTCTCTCCTGTCTCTCTGTCCCTCTTTCTCTCTTCCTTTCTTTTTCTTTTTTTTCTCTTTCTCTTTTTCTCTCCCTTCTTCTCTCTTTTTCTTTTTTTCTCTCTCTTTCTATCTGTCTCTCATTAATTTTGTTCATTCACTTGTTTCCTTCTTCCTCTCTTTTACAAGCACATGCACACACTCACATAAACATTCTCTCTTTTTCTCTCTCTTTCTCTCTCTCTTTCTCTATCTCTCCCTCTACTATCGCTTTCTTCTTTTCTTTCTTTTCCTCTCACTTCTTCAATCTCTCTTCTGCTCGAGCCACTTGGAGTTCGCGGTTATGGTTTCTGTTAAGGCACGTCAAAATTGAACATTAAGAATTCGTTTCGAACAATGAATAAATACGTCTGCCGTCATTATTGTTATTGTTGTTACCATTGTTGTTGTTGTTGTTGCCATTGTTGTTGTTGTTGTTACCATTGTTGTTGTTGTTGTTGCCATTGTTGTTGTTGTTGTTGCCATTGTTGTTGTTGTTGTTGCCATTGTTGTTGTTGTTGTTGCCATTGTTGTTGTTGTTGTTGCCATTGTTGTTGTTGTTGTTGCCATTGTTGTTGTTGTTGTTGCCATTGTTGTTGTTGTTGTTGCCATTGTTGTTGTTGTTGTTGCCATTGTTGTTGTTGTTGTTGCCATTGTTGTTGTTGTTGTTGCC